TAATATTTGTTTTCAAATAGTGTTTTTTACGTAGTATACAAATGTAATGATAATAATTTTTTTCTAAATTTTTTTTAAATGATAAAAAATTTAAGTCTATCGCTTAAATACTATCGCAAATATTCGTAAAAATCTTCATTACCCAAGTTTACGATGGCCTCGATGGAAAAAATTAAAAATTTTCATCATAAATTACATTTTTACTAGCCGATTAATCGTTAAAGAAGGAAAATGTTTCACAAACCCATTTCTAGTTTCGAGCATTCCTCCGAAATTTCATTAAGAAAATCAAGAAAGTTTAAGAAGCCCCTAACACTCCTAACTCAATTAGAAGGAACATTTCCGTCACAAGATTCCAAGACGGAATTGGTTAATTTTCATAACCGCAAGATTGGTGCTTTTGTTTTTCTAACGTAAAATTAGATTGTATTAAACCGAAATGAAAAAAAAAATGGATTATCAACGACGATTGACCAAATTTGATCCCATTGTAAAATATGGGCATTGTCTATAGAAAACAAATCGGAGCAAATATAAATATATAAGTATTCACTTCTACTTCTTAAGTAATGACTTCGAAAAATGTTTTTTGTTTTTTCTTTTTAAATGGGAAAATCATTACCATAACTAACGTAATCGACAAACAAAATTGAATTAATTAATTTAACAAAATTGAATTATTGACATAGTAATATCTGGAAAAAGCGAAACAAGATTTGCAAACGGTTTTTAATATGTTATAGCGTGACAAGAGGCTTATAGGTGACTTGGAATTAGTAGAGGCGTAAAGTTGCCTGCTTATCGGTATTCTATGGGATATATCACGGAGAGTGTGCCATGGGATTGCATAATTTGACTCCGCCTTCCCCTTTCCATCATCGGTGCACTTGACATGGGCTAGGGTTCCCCCTCTATGTTGTGAAAATACCCAGGATTCGCACGGAGCGTTTTACTTCTACATTTATATGGCGACCGGCTAGGGATTGGAATTCCCTGCCTGCGGAATTATTACCCGAACTCTTGGAATGAACTTGTATCTTTTCAAGGCGAGAGTGAATAGGCATTATTAAGGTGTGCATGCTACATCGTCGACCTCATCGTCACTTTCCATCAGGTGATATGGATATCAAATGCGGACTTATTTTTTATAAAAAAAAGTTATTTACTTTCAGTTTTATTGTCAAGTAGAATCAGTATAATTGAAGTTTTTCAAAGAAAAAAAAATTTAGGTGCCAATATCTCGAAAGCATTTTGGTAAAAATGCTTATGCGTTAGTTACAGAAAGAGGGCAGAAATTCCTCAATACGGTGTTTTTGACCAAATTTCTCACAGAAGTTAATAGTCCGTAAGATTTTTTACGGATAAAAAGAAAACGTAGACTATTCTATTTGTAGAAATTTCGTGGCAATAATATAACTGTTAGATAGCCAGTTAGTTATAAAATTTTATATTATATTTTTTATTATATTAGTTATAAACTACCCATAAGAGCTCGACCTATCACAATTTAGAAATGTATATTCCTGAATGTCATTGGTATGATCGAATCTGTGACCTTCCTCATCAAGAGCCTAGAATACTAATTACTGGTCCTCGAAGTCATTGAAGTCACAATAAGTACGTAAATATCGTCGACGGACAGAGAAACCAATTACAACGTATTGAGAAAGATGCATAAGGTTTTGGAGCTGCTGAAAACAGCAAAAAGGAGGAAGCTGCAGTACTTCAGGCACATTATGGGAAGTGATAAATACTTTCTACTGCAACTCAGTCTGCAAGGCCGCAGGAGACGTGGTCATAGAAAAACCACGTGGCTTCAGAATCTTGCAGAGTGGTTCAACATAAGTACCACAGAACTGTTCCGAACTGCAACTTCACGGACCCAAATTGCCACAATGATAGCCAACCTCCGGTAGGAGATGGCACCCCAAGACGAAGAAGATATAGGTCGGCTGGCTATGTCCCTCTACTTCCCCAACCACCCGGGTAGCTGGTAGCGTCGAATTGGTTGAAGGTGGCGCTGCTATTGCAGGGCGGTTAGTGGAAGTGACGTAGGCTGCCGGAGCAAGACTGCGAACTAGCCTACATGGCGTCTTGTCAACTTTCGTTTCAATTTACTTAATTAAGCAAATGGTGCTAGCCGATAATTTTAATATAAAATATGGGTATATTTGTTGCCTCAATCTTTCTTTCCAACATTTTTTTAAATAAAACAAGTCGTGCTCCTAATGGTAAGCTACACGCCTATCCATGACAGTTACAGTACCATTCAGAATTTTAAATCGCAAAGATCTGGGGGGCACTGCCACTGCGCCCGCCTGATACATAAGTTGACAAGTCCCATGTGCCTATAATTTCACTAGCACAAGTTAGTTTTTCTACACTGACCCGGCCGGGATCGAACCTCGAGATGGCGATACCATACAAACCGGTGAGCAAGCTACTCGACCATGGAGGTCGTCAAATGTCGTCGTATTCAATTCCCGGTAGGACCAATTTTGGAAACAAACTCCGAGTTGATTTCTTTGGTTTGCTCTGGTACTCGTAGTATAGGGATGTCCCTAGTTTGAGACCAAATCATTGTGTGAGGTTTTCTGGCACATTATATTACACTTATACATGACTAATCATTCATTTTCAGATCCTAATTTGTAAGATTAATATCATGTTTGTATCTGTGGATTGAGAAGCGACTTAACAATATTGTTCGTTGACGCAAGTAGTGTTAAAAATGCCTTGTGAAAATATTTATATAACATGTATTTCTGAGAGGTAGAAAGCTGGTGGCCTGACGCAATCACATAGGCATCACTCTCCCACAAAATTATACTTACTGAAACTTAACGTGTAAACTAGAAAGCTGTAATGTGTATTTTATGGAGGAAAAATAAACTTTATTATTATTATTGTTATCACATTGAAATAACTAAACAACAAAATTGTTGTGCGATCTATTCAAATAAAATAAGAAGATATCCAAAGTGCGAAGTAAACGCATCCAATAGGTAATTTAGAGTAGAAGTTGATTTAGTGTCATCTGTACAATGTCGACTTACCCTCTTTCTCTATATACAGTTACGACATTAAACAGAGGCTTCTCTTCGAATTCCAATTTTTTTCTCATCTTCATTTTAAGTGCCATTGTGTCTTGCAACAATAACTACGTGGGTTTTTACAAGGTGTGTATGTCCTTTAGAGCGCAAACAAGGTGACAATAGCCTTTCCGCCCTAAAGAATAACGACGACACTGAAATGGCGGAAAAGAAAAAAGCTAAGAGTGAACGATAAAGAATTTTCATTTACACAATTGATTTTCTTTCAAAGATCAACTTTGTTCTAAATAAAAACAAAGCACACAATACTAAAATTAAACGCTAGAGAAGAAAAATAATTAAAAAGCTTCTTGATAGATCGTCTGATATGCAAGTACATTTCATATTTGGTATTACAATGTCAATTGACAAGTTATTTTGAAAAGAAATCTAGATGACTTAATTTCGATGTATTTTAAGCTTTCTTATTAGTCTCTGTTTCGTTTTCATACACAAACTTTCGCAGATGAGCCTCCAATATTACGTTAGTATTATTTACTAACTATTAATAATGTTTACAATTACGTTTAAGCAATTAGTTTAATGGGAGTAGACCTCTTTGAGAAAGAGTTTTTCCAGGGCAGTACTCCCAACTTACTTCTGCTGCCAAGCAGTAATGTTAGCACCCGTGTGACGCACCGTAAGTTGCCGGAATAAATAAGAAAAAATACCATAAATAGTCTGAAATGAATTGATTGTTTCTCAAAATATTATCCGTTAGCGTTAATACACTTTTTCATACGAATGAACCAATTTTGAAAACATTTATAGCCACTCCTCCGTGACAATCTCTGAAACATATTTTTCATACTCTTCGACAGCCCTTTCAGGTGATGAAAATCGTTGACCGCGCAACTGCCGCTTAATTTTTAGAAATAAATAAAAGTCACAAGGTGCCAGGTCGGGACCATAGATATAGAAAAAAAGGGGAGATACGGTATGGGAGCGTGGTTCGCGTCGCCTCGATATGGTCATTTTGACCATGACACGTGTGACATGCCTACAAACATCGCCACAGTGACATGGCGATCGTTGTACATACAAGACCTCTGATAGAACGTGAAAATGCCAAATTATAGCGATACACCTTATAAAAATTGGAGTGAAAACAAAAATTTTAAAACCAGTGAGATAACATTCCACCGGCTATTTGCATTTTTAGTTACTATTTCTATTATTATTCAATGTTTTCTTTTTGTCTCCATAGAAATTTTCTAGACTCAAATATTGTGATGTTCATTTACGAAGACTGATGTTTATCGACAATAAATTTTTACTAAAATGTTTGAATTTTTTACTATGATTTTTGTCCCTAAAATATCGAAGCGAAAAGCATTCACGTTAAATTGATTTCTTTTATTTTATTGTTATTATTATTACTAAACATTTTATTTCGAGTAACTTTAACACAACTCATATTTCGACAAACGTTTCAATTTCATGTCAATTTGGATGTTGCTGTTGCTTGAAGAAAAATTTATGTGTTTTAGATATTTAAAATATTTAAATTCCATTATACTCGTAGATTAAACGTAGAGTATTTTTAATTTTTAAGTTTTTGCAATGAGTTTAAAATAAAAGAAGGTTGGATTGAAGCTGCAGGAAAATCGAAAGATTGGTTTTCTTATTACTATTTCTGACTTTGTTTTAATTTCCATCGCAAATGCATTTAAAAAATAAATAAAATAAAGTCAGCTTTATTTTACAAGTGAATGCAAAATAAATTAAAAACAATTATAGAAAATTACATAAATCCTTCGTAAAAAAACAACATAATTTAATTTATTAAATTCGTTGATGGTTCGAGTTTACTCTTGACAGTGACAGCTTCAGCAACCCGTGGTAACGTATAATGGAAAATTGGCACTGGCGACGATCGCCATATTTTTTATATTATTTTTATATGTTGGTTCCGGCTCATCTCGAAAGACCCGTATGTATGATTGTAACTATAAACCCATGTTTCGTCTCATTTTACTATGTCCCACCCCAAATTTGACGCCCCTTCGTAGAAAATGACCGCGTTTGAATTCTGTAAACCGGCTATAAATAGTCGTCTTGCATGGTGCTTCATCGCCAAAAGCAGTTTGAAACCGAGCGAAGCTCTGCTGAGCTGTTAAATTACACTTAAAGTCGTAGAAAATCATACTACGAAAATTTTCACGAGTTAAATACATGGTGATGTAGACAGCCTATTTCTAAAATGACGACATAATGTAAAAACAAGTGACAATCAGATGCAACAAACTGTATTCTACAGCCAAAGAGTTCCATTTTCAAATGTTGTAATTACTTTTTTACGTAAGTGTTAAATAATATTGTTTATGTAAGTGGCCAATTCCGGAAACTTATAGTGCGCCCTATGTATAAATAATAATCAACTGGTAAGGGTGCTGCTAAAATTACAGGCACATGGGACTTGTCAACTTATGTCTCCAAATAACGGGCGCAGTGGCACTGCCCCTCAGATCTTTGTAATTTAATGGATTGCCATCCAACTGTGTTGCAGTGCCCTGCAACTGTGTTGGACAGGCGTATCGCTTACCGCCAGGTGTACGACTTGTTAGTCCCGTCACTTGATATCACAGACCCAATGTGCTTAGTATCATAAAAAATTTGCTTGTAAAAATTTACAATTATAACTTTACTTAAAGATTATGTATGAGACAAAATTGTGTTGTTATAGTGTCGCAAATGAAGCTCTATAATTAATCATACGATGTGAATATCTTAGTGGAAAGCACTGAGGTATGGCCACAAATGTGCGAAATCTTTTGTATGAAAGCAGGATCACGACAGACTGTATAAGTCACTTTATAACGTTCGGAAGCAGACAAAGGAGCAGTATCAAAAATCCTTTTAGCGCTATACCAAAGTTTATACGCTTTCAAAGAGAGATAAAACTGACAAAATATGTTCCGTTGAAATTTTCTTGGATGTTGCAGTTTTAAAGTGTAGTAGAGATGACGTTGAACGTTGCCTAGAGTGTTTTAGTCGAGAGCGTTGGATAACTTTGCTTTAAGTGTTATGTTTGACTTTGTGTTTGCTTGTAGAATATTTTGCTATTGGAAAAAAATTGTCACAGACAGTCACACATCTTTCTACATAAGTTTTGTTTATATTAACCTTCCCTATCAACCTCTTGGTTATACGAAAAGGGCACTATAACCTGTGCATACTTGCACAGGTTATAGTGCCGTCCGCACAGAGACCTTATCAGTCATGTCCTGACCCCAGATCAGCCCGTTTAAAATGGTAGGTTGTTGACACGCTCACCTCTGTTGCGCATTGCACACCTAGTGGTTGCTACCGCTAAGCCGTTGACTCTAAAGTCCACTACCCAATTTCAGTTCCCAGAAACCTACTTGTCTAGAGGGACCGAAGGATATTTAGCTCCTCTCCGGGCTAGTGCCGGAGATGTCGGTCGTAGTGTTCAGTGACAATGTCCGGACTTAGCTTCCAACGTAAAGGGTAGCTCATGTGCCACGCGCATCTCCACACTTTAAGCCGTCGTCTAGACCGCTACTAAGATGCGATAGTTGCGCGGGGGATGAATGCCCCGGACACATGCTACCGGAGTAGAAGAACGTGTCCATCCCTACAGCTAATCACAAATCCCCGACGAGTCTATACCTAAGTTCGAGTCCGCCAGACACCCGTGAAGGCGAATCACTGGCGGAGGGCTTGGCCTGGACGCCTACCGTACCTTGGACTTACCGGGGGGCCCGTAGACTCCGCGAAAATCTCTATGTATAGGTCAGTAAATGGGGACATATCGAAAACGACAGTAGTTTCTTTTAGTAGCAAATTAGAAGCAGTAGAACGCCTTGTGAAAGAATTCGTCAAGGGAAGTACTGCCACCTTTAAATATTTCCTCTGCCAAGCAGTAATGTGAGCATTACTGCGTTCCAGTTTTGAAGGATAATAAGAGTGCTGGTGAATTACAGGTACATGGGACTTGTGTTTCACTAGTTATGTTTCAGTGTGACAGACGCAGTGGCAGTGCCCCTCAGATGTTTGCTATTTAAAGCTGTGAGCGGCACTGCAACTGTTATGGGCATGTCGATTACCACCAAGCGTACAACTTGTTCGTCTCCTGCTCTTTGTAGTGGCAGTTTTAACTAACATTACAGTAATGACATTTTACAAAGAATAAACAGCTGTTTTCAAAAGCCAATTAGTTGCACCACTCTATTGTCCTTAATACAACGTTGATAGGAGCGTATGTGTTTTCCACTTTGTCTTATCAATTTAACTTGAGATAAGGAGCTCTTCCAAGGCGTCTGACTTATTTCCTTGACAGACTTTGTACGTATCTCGTGTTTACGGAATTTTAATAAATTGATCATATACATATATACGTGGATGGAGCTACATAACAATATGTTATAAAAGTATTTTAATTAAAATTAATATTTGTAATAACTCTAACATCAATTATATTATTAATAATGTCACTTATCATATCTCCACATTCTAGTGTTATAATTTCACAAACTGGATTTTCGAGAAGACCCGCATCCGGCAGTGGGACGTTAGATGTACATGAACGATCAATGATGATGATTAAGCTTAACTTCTTACACAAAGTATTTGTTCTAAAAAAAAATAGAAACAGAAATGACGTGAAGTGGAATAAGGTGTAGTGATAGTGATAAATGAACTCAATATCTGTCATTTACCATTAATATTATCACGAGATCTAAATTTATGAAATTATACACATATTCATAACTTGTTTAATTAAATATGGATATTTTGCCTATCATTATTAAATTCGGAAATTCCTAAAAAGATTTGTATATTTAATTTTATTCCCATGAACTTGACTTTTTACCATTCCGCTACTGTTTTTCTTTTATTATTTTAAGTAATTGCATTTTCGAGGAGAAAATTGGATGATGAAAATGTTATATCTCTCTCATTAAATGGATACTTGTTAATAAATCTAAAGAACAAATTCAGGATGTATAAAACATTTAAAATACAAATCTAAAGCTTGTTTCTTCTGCGTTACTGCTATACAACTCCGTGGTAGTAGTTATAGTATGTGGACACAACTATGTAAATATAAGTATTTTCCTCTTAATGTTTTTCAGAAGTCATTTGATAAAGCACCGTCGCGGCGCAAGAATAACGGTCTACAGTTAGCAAATTGTACGGAAGCCACTTTTGTTGTAGAACTATTGGACGTTTAGAAAAAAGCAAATAGCT